AAAAAAATAAAAACCAGGATCCAATCAAAGGTACATTTTCTCTTTCATGACATTGACTTTTTTTACACTGACTCTTAAAGAGCCCAAGGTAGGATTCTAGTACAGTGTTCTACAGTCTGTATTTGTCTGGTTGTTTTCTCATGGTGTTATTTAACTTGTCCCTCTAGTCCAGTGGTTTTCAACCTTCTGGCCCTTTAAATACAGCTCCTCATGTTGTGACCCAACCATAACATTATTTTCGTTGCTACTTCATAACTGTAATGTTGCTACTGTTATGAATCGTCATGTAAATATCTGATATGCAGGATGGTCTTAGGTGACCCCTGTGAAAGGGTCGTTCGACCGCCAAAGGGGTCGCGACCCACAGGTTGAGAACCGCTGCTCTAGTCCCTGTATTTCCTGTAAATGTTAGAGTCCAGAGGCTTGATTTGATTCATTTGTTTTTATTGATTTTTAGAGAGGGGAGGGGAGAGGGATAGAGATAGAAACTTCGATGAGAAACATCGATTGGCTGCCTCCTGCACGCCCCCTATTGGGGATTGAGCCTAAAACCTGGGCATGTGCCCTGACCCAGAATGGAACCTGAGACCTCTTAGTTCATGGTCCACGTTCAACACTGAGCCACACCAGCCAGGGGAAGAAATTTAAAGAGAATTGGCTGATGTTATGAGAGTTGATGACATATGGAGTAGAGATTTCAATACCACAAATCATATGGAAATCCTAGGTAGGATCCTGAAACTATCTTTCTCCAAGTCTTGGTAAATATTTGATGTTTCCAATGAAAATCCTTACTAACTGGCTTTACAATTAGCTTTCATCAAAAATGTAAAATCTAAAATCTGATTTTTAAAAATACAGAAAAATCAATGCTTTCTCACCCTATTTGTTCCATTATGTTTACATCCTTGCTTTTAATGAGAGCAGATTAAAAGCATGACGAACATAGAATGTTGTGCTCAATTTCCCATAAACTCTAATTGAAAGTTTAACACGCTATTTTATTAGCAAGAAGTAAATTAAGCAGTAGCTATAAATGTTTAATACAGAATTGCCCAGAGGTTTTAGTAATAAACCAAATGAAATTTAATCAAGAATTACTGGATTATTTTAAAAGTCTATCATGTCTCACCCTAACTGGTTTGGCTCAATGGATAGAGTGTCAACCTGCGGCCCAAAGGGTCCCGAGTTCAATTCCTGTCAAGGGCACGTACCTCAGTTGCAGGCTCCTCCCCAACCCCGGCCCTGGTCAGGGCTTGTGCAGGAGGCAACCAATCGATGTGGTTCTCTCACATCGATGTTTCTCTCTGTCCTTCTCTCTTCCAATCTCCCTAAAAATCAATGGAAAAATATCCTTGGGTGAGGATTAACAACAACAAGAGTCTATCGTGTCTCATCAGATAACTAGAATTGCTATTTCAAGCCTTAGAATGGCATAAATAATATACTGACAGGGTATGAAAGAACAACAAAAAAAGACCTTTCTTGTTTTTATTAATCCAAAGATCCATGCTTGTGGCTTGGAGATCACTAACCCATCATCACTTCAGGAGTGAATGTGCTAATTTTTAATAATTAGATTGAGAAGATTCCCTGTGGTAATGTAGGAATCGGAAGCTGTTGATGAGTGCCATTAAGATAGTATTTATATTAGGATTCTTGGTTGAAAGTGATAGAATTCCATCCAAAATTAATTTTAACAACAACAAAAAAATCAACTGGCTTCGGCATTTGCTTGGCTTTGGACCTGTATATGGATGCCTTCAGGTATGGTTGAAGCCAGGGACTCAAATGTTAGCAGAATGGTGTCTGCCTACTTCCTCGTGTTAGCTCTGCTTTCTCTGTGACTTCATTTTGCAGATTTTCCCTGTATGGTGGACAAAGGAGATATTTTTCTCCTTATAAGACATGCTCTTTTGATAATACCACAGGTAAGGCCACGTTGTTAAATCCTTTTCATTTTACTCATGCAAACCCAAGGCCCAGATAACCTGCTAAATGCCATTCTACAATTTAGTGATGAGAGAACAAATGGTAATATTCTATAACACACAACTTTTTTTGTTTACCCTACTGATATAGTACCAATCACCTCCTGAATTTATATACTGTATTCTTATAAATTCTAGAGAAAAACATCTACAGTATTTTCTTATTGCAAAGTTACTAATATTCCAAAAAACAAAGAACCTTCAATATCACTGACCCTCCTGTTATAATAATGCAAGGTCTTCACTCTCCTACAATCTTCGGTCACCATGATCTTACCTAGAGCTAATTGTATAGGCCAGTGGTCAGCAAACTCATCAGTCAACACAGCCAAATATCAACAGTACTTCTTCAAAATAGATTCGCCCAGGCCGAAAACCGACCTCTGCGCATGGGCCACGAAGTTTCAATCACACTGTATGTGAGCCCACATGTGGTATTTTGTGGAAGAGCCACACTCAAGGGGCCAAAAAGCCGCATGTGGCTCACGAGCCACAGTTTGCCGACCACGGGTATAGGCAGCTATTTCTATTTCACTCTTCTAGTGAAAACCTTTTGTTCAGAGATACCCAACAATGTTCCCAATATTCCATTTGAACATTCTGCCAAGCTCTTCAGGTTTGGGGAGGTTCAAAAAGACCAGTGAGCATCTTTTATTCTCAGCCATCAGCAAAAATAAAAGGCCCTTTTGCAAAATCTTTTTAATTGTTTAACCTTGAAGTGCTTGGTACCAGATCTGGAACTTGTCATCACCAGGAATCACTCCACCTCTGATATCTTTTTGTTTTAATGTATTTATTGATTTCAGAGAGAGGAAGAAATTAAAACATCAGTTATGAAGAGAGAATCATCAATTGGCTGCTTCCTCCATGCCCCCTACTGGGGATCAAGCCTGAAACCCGGGAATCAAATGGTGATATCCTAGTTCATGGGTGGATGCTCAACCAGTGAGCCACAGCAGCTGGGCTACCTCTAGTATCTTAATACCAGAGTCTTAATGACTTAAAACTGGCTAACACTTTTTATTTCAACCATTTCCTTCTTGTTACTTTCACATGCCATGACTCCTGTGTTAGTTTGGGTCTGCAGAGAAGCAGATGCTAAGACAAGATCAGACATGGAAAAGGTTTTCAGAGAAGGGAGCAGAAGGCGTGACGTACTTCAGGCTGTGACTGCAGGACTCTATGGGAGGAGAGAGAGGACTGGGTAGGAAGTTCTGGACCACAGCAAAATTCCAAGAAAGGTTTAGCCAGTACAAGAGGGAGGGAGTCCTTGATCCAGAGTTCTCTGTGTCACCAGACAGCTAGAAACTGTTTGCTATTTGGCATGAAACGTAATTAGGTCCACTACCTCAAGACTGACAGCTTTTCTTACATGCCAGTTAGTGGCGGTCCTCACCATGCTTAATCATTGCCTGGGAACAGCCTGTAGGAGGAGCAGCCTGGGCACAAACACAGCGGTGGATTCAGTGGGGGAAGACGCTGGAGACATCACTCAACTATGCTCCGACCAACAGACTTGGCCACGCCCTACTTCCGTCATACCTGAAAGACACTGACTATCAGACCAACTTCTCATGTGCACAGACCTACCGGCTAATCTTAATACACGACTTTTATTCATCTAATCATCCACGTTCCCCATTGCTCAGTCCTAAAATGACACAATAGTGTAGAATACCACTATAAATTCGGTCTCCATCCTTAGCTGGACGCTCTGTATTGTCCCTCCTTAACTCCCTTTCTTCCTTAACTCCCACAGCAGTTAACAATTCTATCTTAAGTGCCCTCTTCTATTTGTCAGAAGTGACACTGCCTGATCTCTCTCAGAGCATATACCACTTGTAAGGCATTAGTTCATGTTTTGACCCCAATGTATGTTTATATTAGAGCCCATACTCAATACCTTTTATCTAGCTTGAACAAAATGTGCTTCTCTGGGTTTTGGACCCTATTCAACTTCCTAAAGGCCATCAGTTAATCCCTCTGAAATACATTTAAAATGTTTCTCAGCGGACGTTCTTCTAACCTAGTAACAAATTTAGGCTTAAAGCATAGGACTAGGAAAGAAACAGTGAGGGGAAGACTGAATGACATTATGAAGATTACGTAGATTATGGAACAGCAGGAATTTTAAGAGAAAAAAGAGGATGTGGTTTCCAGCCAGATTGATTTGTAAACCAATGACAGTAGTAGAGAAGTTGGGAAGAACTGGTTTGGATAAGTGTTAAGAATATGCCCTACAAAGAGTTACTTAGTAATATGCCTTAAGTATTACGAAGTGTTATATATGTCTCAGCTAAAATAAAGTAGCTTCTTCAATGACCTAAGACAATAATCTTTTTTTTAAATATACTTTTAATTTATTTTAGAGGGGGAGGGAGAGAGATCTAAACATCAATGATGAGAGAGAATAATGGATTGGCTGCCTCCTGCACGCTCCCCACTGGGGATCAAGCCCACAACTCAGGTATGTGCCCTTGACAGGAATCGAACCCAGGACCTTTCAGTTTGCAGGCCAAAGCTCTATCCACTGAGCCAAACGGGCTAGGGCTAAGAAAATATTCTTAATTTCATTTAGGTTCATGTAGTAAAGGTCTAACTTCAGATAAACTTTCTTCTTTTTTTTTTTAATATATTTTATTGATTTTTTACAGAGAGGAAGGGAGAGAGATAGAGAGTTAGAAACATCGATGAGAGAGAAACATCGATCAGCTGCCTCCTGCACATCTCCTACTGGGGATATGCCCGCAACCCAGGTACATGCCCTTGACTGGAATCGAACCTGGGACCTTTCCGTCCTCAGGCTGACGCTCTATCCACTGAGCCAAACCGGTTTTGGCAGATAAACTTTCTTGATGGAACAAAAATGCAAGAGACGTTTAGTAACAGACTGAATTATTTATTGACTGTACATTGACCATACATGACGGAATTTAAAGTGATTAAGTTAGGGTCAACTTTGTTTCATTTGAAACAACCCAAAAAAAAAAAAAAAAAAAAATCACAAAATCTTTTAAAAAATATTTTAATTTCTAAAAAGAGTAAGCCATTTTAAAATGTAATTGCACAGTAGTATTTGTTAATCCTTTCAACAAACTGAAAAGTAAAACAAACTACTTAAATCAGTTTAATTTACTTTCTAATTTTAAAAATGAACACTGCCCCCGGAGGATGCAAAAACCAACAGTGAAAGTGGAATATTTAAAGTAATGCAACGTAAGTATTTAGCTAAAAGGATTTTTACAAGTAAATTTCATCTGGCAATTCCATACAACTACCAGTATGTTGACAGTAGATAGGAATTTAAAACAAACAATTCTAAGCTGATTAAATCCACAATTAAGTGAAGTTTTCATTTTATTCAGTTGTAAATAAAATAGCAGCCATTGTTTTATCCACTAATGATATCAACTTCAGAAGAAACTATCTGCTTTGTTTGTGAAAAACAAGAATAGTTACCTTCTGTTGAAACACTGTGAGCTTTAAAAACTTAGTTCTTTTTCAACTGTTTTATAATCTCCAAATAAAATAAACGGTTCCAGCTACTGTCTTGGCAGTAGCCAATCGGTTTCCTATACGATTACATCTTCCATGAAGTCATCATATAGCCACTTACAGGTGTGATCTTTGGAACATTCTATAGTTTCAAAAAGGCATTTAAAGTCTGAAGGATACATGTCTATTATTTTTATTGTTTTATCTTGTCTTATTTTCTTCAATATGTCCATTGCATCAATTGGACTCAATGAACTGCAAAAAAAAATTCAAAGTAAATTGTTAAATCTTTTTCATAACAATTGTCAGTTAATATAGATAGAAGTGGCTTCCAAGCCCAATGTAAAATGCCTATCTTATTCTATATAATTAATCTTATTTAAAAAGCTTGCATATAATATATAGCTTTAACTATGTTTATTCCTAAAGTTTCATGGCAGATATAGGTGTTAACATATTCTAATCAATTCCTACACAAAATTCAAGTTTAAATTTAAAAATCCTTTTCTACCTCTCTCATCCTTTAACTCTCTTTGCAAAAATATTCTTAACTCCATTTAGCTTCATGTAAAAACTCAGTAAGTTCAAACAGCAGAAACTGCTGTCTGGCAATTTCAAAGGGAATCTTTCACATTTTTATATAACAACTAGTGGTCCGGTGCATGAATTTGTTCACATTGAGAGGAAATTAATTAGAATAATTAGAAGAAATATTTTAATATCGCTATTTGCCCTTACTCTATAATAGAAGTGTCAACCAAATTCACAATCAACAATGACAGATGGAAACACACGCATGCAATTGGCACCAGTGAGAGCTTTGTAGGTATCACGAATGCGCAAGTCAACTTAGCCTTTTATAGATATAGAATAAACTTCCTTAATTAGACCTGCTTCTGATTTAGCTAAACTTTTTCCAGCCCAGTGAAGCACCCCAACTTCTCTTTCAGGTAATTGTCTGCAACACAGCAGTAAATCCTTTTTCTAGCTAATGAAAAGACATAGGATTCCACCGAGTCTCCTATCTACCTACTCCAGGACTTCTGTGAGGATCCAATGAGATGAAGCACGGGAAAATGGCTCACAGATATCTGGTTAAAGTGTGAAATGTTTCCACCTGGCAATAAAGCAAGTCATGTTCTGGGCTGAAGAAGTTGCAAGGCTAGTTGTCACTAGGGAAAGGAAGCCAGGTGTTGCTATGTGAGGTCATTACCCGACGGTCAGACACTTAGCATATTAGCCTTTTATATATATAGATATATATAGATTACTGGTGAATAAATTATAAAGCAGAAAACTGCCTTATGTAATAGCCTATCAAGAAATCATCAGTGAGCCTCTGACAATAAGAACAACTGCAATGAAATATTTTGGTAGAAAATATTTCCAATACTTTTTCATTTTGAATGGAATCCTCATCACAGATGGAAATATGCTTTCAATTCAGAGATCTCAAAGGGAATTTTGAACATTTAGCACCACAGGTTACCATATTTGTTCCTTAATTTCATATATACATATCTATAATAACAAAAGCATAATATGCTAAGTAGACCGGACAGCAGGCAACCTTCTGGATGACCTTCCGGACAGAGCCACAGCTGCGAGAGCCGAGGCAAGCCTCTGCAGCTGCAAGAACCGAGCCTCTTGCATGAATTTTGTGCATCGAGCCTCTAGTATATATATTTGGTGAGTGTGGCTAGATGACTGACTTTATCCATTTGTTCCCCATTGATCCCCCTCCATCCCATCCCTCCATCCCCCCAAACAACCATTACCAGAAGGGGACAAGATAAAAAAATAGTGGATTATTTTTACTGGTTTACTGCCATTTTTAATGTTTATTTTTATATAAGTTTTGTTCAACTAACAGCTCATTCAGTTACTGTACACATCAGCCCTATATAAAAATTATACTTATGTGGATACAAAGGAGATAATAACTCTTTTTACCAAGCTTTATGTAGAAACAAAAATTTTGGTTCAGGGCAGGAAAATCAGGGTGGTACAATGATCCATTCCTACTCTGGTTAGGAAACAGAACCAGTAAGAATAGGCAATGCAGCCCTCGCTGGTTTGGCTCAGTGGATAGAGCGTCGGGCTGTGGAATGAAGGGTCCCTGGTTCGATTCCAGCCAGGGGCACATGCCTGGGTTGTGGGCTCAATCCCCAGTACGGGGCACGCAGAAGACAGCTGATCAATGATTCTCTCATCATTGATGTTTCTACCTCTCTCCACATCTCCCTTCCTCTCTGAAATCAATGAAAATATATTAAAAAAAAGAACAGGCAATGCCAAGGTAGATGGTGGGTATTCCATCAATCACGCCAACTTTCTCCATCCCAGCCAGTGGCAAGCAGCTACTTCTTCATGAAGGTTAATCCAAGAAGGAAAAAAATTAACTCAGGAGATTTCGTGGAAAATATAATTATACTTTTCTCAAAATGCGTGCCAGGCAGGAGGAAGTATTTTGGAGAAACACATGAGTGAAAACATGGTACCTCATTCTGTTAATCAAGGTACACAAGATATAAAAATTGGGCCTCTAACATAAAAGTATAATTCTCACATTAAATTGCTACTTTTACACTCGCTTTTATTCTTCTTACTTACGTTAAGTGGTCGATTAGCTTGCCATGGCGCTTCAAAAAACACTGCTTTGTCATGTGAAAAAATACATCATAGTTAACAGATGTTAAATGTTGTGAAAATAAATCTTTATGAGGAGTCAACTGAATGAGACACAGGTTTTGTTGTGTTTGCTGTTCTAATGATTCCTGGAAAGGAGGGAAAATAAATTGTGTTAGTCATAAAATATTGCCAGAGCAAGACATTGTTCACTGACTCATTCAATCGCCACAGACCCTAAATGTCCCTGGATATTCTCAGCAGCTGTGCCAAGAATGCAAGGCCCTAAGCGCTCTTTGCCTGGGCCAGTTCTCAAGGTTGTCTGCAGTGAGCCACCTTGAGGGATGAGGCAACACCTCTCTCTGGGACAAAAGCAGGCTTGCTTCATGTTTGCCATAAAACAGGTGGGTTTCCTCAGCTCTATGTTGTTCCTCAGCTGCAATGCGAACCCTCTGCATGCACACCATCCAACCATGCCACCTCACAGCCCCGGTGGGACTTGGAGCAAATGAAACCCTTTGTCTAATCCAGGAGTCTGTGTCTTTGGCCACCATTCATAAAGACTAACAGCTTATTGTAAATAGGGTAAAATCAATCCCAAACATGTAGTGAGTCTCTTCTGTATTTGAAGCACACCACCAGATCCTAAGAATAAGAAAATACTATTGACATATAATTTTTAATTGGATACTTTTTAAAAATATGGGGTTAGCAAGCTGGGGTCCACAGCCTGCCTCTTTTTGTATAATCTGGAGCTAAAAATGGCTTTCACATTTGCAAAGGATGGTGTGTGTGTTTTCTTAAAAAGGCAAAAAACAGCCCTGACCAGTTTGGCTCAGTGGATAGCGTCGGCCTGCGACTGAAGGGTCCTGGGTTCGATTCTGGTCAAGGGCATGTACCTTGGTTGTGGGCACATCCCCAGTAGGAGGCGTCAGGAGGCAGCTGATCGATGTTTCTCTCTCGTCGATGTTTCTAACTCTCTATCCCTCTCCCTTCCTCTCTGTAAAAAATCAATAAAATATATTTAAAAAAAAAAAAAAAAAGCAGAGAACACATGACAGAGACTATATGTACCCTGAAAGCATAAAACTTTACCAACTGGTCCTTTACAGGAAAAGTTTGCCAACCTGCACCAGTATACAATATTGCACTAATTAAAATGAAAACTATATATGACTTAATGTAAGTTTAAGACGTATTTTTCTCCCTAAAATTATACCTCAGAAGAGAAGGAGCCTTATATTTCTTTAGGAAATCTCATATATTAGGTAGTGATCACTTATTTATTTTATATATATCTAAATATATATCCTATGTGTGGAAGACATATTAGCCCCCCGCCCCCAATTATAATCAATTCCAACTTCTAGTTTTGGATGGCTGCAGCTTAGGAATTGGTAGAAAGGAAGGCAATGAAATACAAAATAATTATTAATTATTGTTTTTTTTTGTTTGTTTGTTTTTTGGTGCTCTTGACTGGAATCAAACCCGAGACCCTTCAGTCCACAGGCTGATGCTCTTTCCACTAAGCCAAACCAGCTAGGGCATATTTAGTAATTATTAATTATGAACAAAGATAACACAATTCAAAATATTATACATTGTTGTTATGTCTTTTGAAGGTGACTTTAAAAAGCAACTGCACAGCTCAGTGGTTGAGCATCAACCTAGGAACCAGGAGGTCACAGTTTTGATTCCCAGTTAGGGCACAAGCCTACGTTGTTGGCGCAATCCCCTGTGGGGGGCATGTAGGAGGCAGCCATCAGTGATTCTCTCTCATCACTGATGTGTCTATCGCTCTCTCTCTCTTCCTTCTCCTCTGAAATCAATAAATATATGTATATGTACATATATTTTAAAGCAATCTGCTAAATAGTTTTGGAGTTACAGATACACATTTACTTGATAAATGGGGAAGAAAAAACTTACCTGATGTTAAATGAGTGCTTATTTGTAACTTTAAAAATGTCAATAAAAGCAAAAAACATGCAGTCATTGTGTGAAATCTCATATTGAGATGGAAATGAAGATGATGTGCTCTAAAAAACTTTAAATGTCTCTAAGTGTTTCTGTAGCAATTATGAGCACACTGATATCAAACATACATGTGAAATACCTGAATAAAATTCCTTAATGAAACATAACATTTAGTTATTTCATCTTCATCCCTAAAGTTTATATATTTACTAGAGGCCCTATGCATGAAATTCATGCAAGAGTAGGCCTTTCTTTCCCCGGCTGCCGGCACCGGCTTCCCTCTGGCACAGGGGACCTGGGCTTCCCTTGTAGCCCCAGCTTTGTCCAGAAGGACGTCTGGTCTAATTAGCATATTACACTTTTATTATTATAGAAGTTGGCAAAAAAAACTCTCTTAGCTTTTGATCCTGTCATTGAGAAAGTGTCTCATATACAGGGTGTTCATTTTGGGGGCATTTGGATAAGTTCCTAATGGTCCCCAGCCAAAACATATTACTCCTATTAAATGATGCTTTTGAAGAGTGAAAGAGAAATGCTGGGTGGAGTGCAGTGGAAAAGGGAAAAAAGGGGGGGAAAATAAAAGATAAGTAAAATCACAATGACCACTCTATTATCAGTCTTAACAATAAATTTCTAAATTGATAATTTTCCTTTTTCCCTTTAGTGGCAAGAGTGAAAAAATAAAAAAGAAGTTAGCAAATGGGAACTTCAGACTGAGTTGGTACACTGGATGAAAGCATTATTAGCATTTAATCCTAACATGGACCTTTTTAATTGAGTTCAAAAATTGTTTTTGAAACTCCAGCTACTCTATTACAATTTCACTACAAGTATCTTGATATAAGCTAAATGGAAGATCGCTTTATAACATCATCACTTTGGTTCTTTAGAAAGGGGGGGAAAAACTAATAAAATAAAAGCCCCACCTCCTGGGTTAGAAACAGATGTACCTGTTGGTAAATGTAACCATTACAAGCAACAATATTACAAATGTCTGATTAATTAATAAGGTATAAAATTTTGTTTTTAGTTTACCAAATTAGATGAATAGTAAAATGATTACATTTTCCAAATTTGAGATGTATTTCATTTCAAAAGAGATAAAAATGGAAGTCAGAGTCTGTGTAAGTCTATTACTATGCTAGCATCCTCTGTATAAATAGCTAAAAAAGAACAAATCTCTCCCAAAGTAATTTAAACTTATTAAAAGCAATAAGATATGTGTAAAGAACATTTCCAGATATTCTAAATGTAAATAAATACAGAATACCGGATAATCTTAAAGAGAACAAAAGATGTTCCACTTAGAGGGGAAGGGAAAGGCCTTCATTCATCCTTACCTTACTCTCTGGCTTTTCCCGCTGCCCACTTTGACTGCACATGTCAAATGACGACCACGGTTCCTGGAGGGAGGTTAAACAAAAACATTTCTTTTACTGCTCTTTGGTCAAAGGGCCTCAAATTATTGTTGCCTTTAGAAATGTTTTTCCTAAACAACAGAATGAACCCTAATCACCAAACTAATTGGTTTAAAGAAAAATATGTAACAGTTCGTTCACATACCTCTCTCCTTTTTTTTTTTATTTTGGATAAAGAAAAGGAGAATCAGTCCTGGCTGATGTGGCTCGGTTGGTTGGAGTGTGTCCTGCACACCACAGGTGGCATGTTCCATTCCCCAGGCACAGGCCCCAGGTCGCAGGTTTGATCCCCAGTTGGGGCATGTGCCAGAGGCAACCGACTGATGTTTCTCTCTCATATCAACGTTTCTCTTTCTCTCTCCCACCCTCCCTCTCTCTAAGATCAATAAGAAAAAAATAATAAAATAAAGATACTTTAAAAAACGAAAAAGGAAAATCAAAGGTCAATCACAATATTGGTAACTCTATTACTTATTTAGATAAAAGAAAGTTACCCTTAATATTATTACATAAATAGGTTCTCAAGTTATAATTTTTAATAACCAACAACGTTTCGATATTAGAGTCACAATCAGTTTAGGTGTTATCAGGTCATATTAAGGATATTTTTGTTCTACCTTAGTGGAAAAGCCTATTATTAAAACTCATCTGAATATGTTGGGACAGGTTAGGACAGTGATGGCGAACCTTTTGAGCTCGGCGTGTCAGCATTTTGAAAAACCCTAACCTAACTCTGGTGCCGTGTCACATATAGAAATTTTTTGATCTTTGCAACCATAGTAAAACAAAGACTTATATTTTTGATATTTATTTTATATATTTAAATGCCATTTAACAAAGAAAAATCAACCAAAAAAATGAGTTTGTATGTCACCTCTGACACGCGTGTCACAGGTTCGCCATCACTGTTAGGAGATACACAAGATACTCCCGTCAATTTTAAAAAGATCACTTTTTTGTATCTAACTTTTGTACGTACAAATTTGTATGTGAAATAACTTTAAAAGATTACCCAACCAAAAATTTAAAAAGATATATACACAAACAGATTAAATTCCAAAATAAGAGTGGTTTAAAACAGGATCTGACAAAGACTCAAAGACTAAAACTTACAAGACTGATTCAAAAGGGTGTTGTCAAAAAAGTGGCAATTGAAGTGGAAGGAAAATTCAATTGTTGCTCATGTGTAAAGTTCTCGCCGTCCCAGGAATGTCACCACGCGGAGGAAGGCAGAGCAGCGCAGCATGCAGTGGGTCCCACAGTCCCCCCCACTCAGGCCCATTCACAGCACTGGGTACCGAGGAGGCCGCACCCCCATCTACCAGGCCACAGGAGAGGAAACCTGAGTCCCACAACTGACCCTCGGTTGTAGATACACAATGGACAAATGCTTGAAGTGCTGGGTTCACAAAGACCTCTTCTCCTGGAGATTACTCAGTGGCAAAACTCAACCTAGAGCCTCTGAAAACAGATACTGCAGAACAAGAAAAGAAGGATTCCTGAAAGCTGGTCTTCAGGGAGCCTCGATGAAGAAACGAGTGGAAAGCCAAAGGAAAGCGGCTGCGAGGAAAAGCCCACGGAATGGAAGGAGATACTCGGGGTAAGAAAGACTGTTAGAAGAACCAAGAACGCCATACCACGATGACAATACACAGTGCAGACAGAAAGCAGGGACAGCAATGGAGGCTAAACGTGAACAGATTTCTGGGAATATAGCAAAACAGTGAGAGCATGACTGATACAAAAGACAAGGAACAGAGATACAGCCTAAGAATCTCAGATGCTTTGGAGGAAAAAAAAAGAATTGAAACCAAAGCTAAAATTCAAACAAAATAATCTTCTAACAACTAAGCATGCACATTAAAGGGCTTAATGTGTTCCTGGGCAAAATCAATGAAGGGCGTCCACAAAGACACGCTGGAAAATTTAAAGATTAAACCACTATATCCTTAGAAGAACGAGGGCTCATAAAATATGTAAACATGTATCACATAAAAAATACTTGCTCTACACTCCATCTACTAACATAAAAAATGTGCAAATTATGGTGTGAAAGAAATAGCATTTATTAATTTTTCTTACACTCTAGACCCCAGCTATTAAATATGGTAGCCACTAGCCACAAGAGCCATTGAACACTTAGAATGAGTCGTTTGAATTGAGATGCTATAAAATACACACTGGATTTCAAAGACTTAGTACACATGTACGTACACACACACACACACACACAAAACGTAAATTATGTAATAAAAATTCTAAAATATTGATTACACACTAAAATGATATTTTTTAAAAAACACATTTCTTTATTGATTTCAGAGAGAAAGGGAGAAGGAACAAGAGATAGAAACGTCAATGATGAGAGAGACTCATTGATTGGCTGCCTCCTACACACTCCCTACTGGGGATCGAGCCCACAACCCAGGCATGTGTCCTTGGCCGGAATCGAACCTGAGACCCTTCAGTCCGCAGGCTGACACTCTATCCACTGAGCCAAGCCAGCTAGGGCTAAAATGATATTTTGAATTGAGGTTAAATAAAATATTTAAATTATTTACCTGTTTCTTTTTACTTGTTATAATGTGGCTACTAAAAAATGTAAACTTGCATGTGTGGCTCACATTATACAACTCTGATTTTGCCTAAGGAAGGAAACTAAAAAAACAATGGGAGCAGGGATGTTCTATAACGAAGTGTTACGGTAGCCATTAAAAACTTAAAAAGTTCAGTGACAAGGGAAAAAACTTTTAATTAAGTACTTCTATTAAGTGGGGAAAAAAATAAGTTACAAAATAATATAATCTTCACTATATAAAGACAACAAGTCATAGAAAAAATAAGAGTAAAAATATGCCACAAATGTCAACAATAGTGACGCCTGGATGGCAGAACTGTAGTGACTGTGTTTTAGTCTTCTTTTGTTCTTTTACATGTCTTACAGTCTTAAAATGAACATATATTATTTTTATAGTAAAAGAAAAGAAATATTTCTGAGAAAAACAGGACAAAGTATATTCCACAGCCTGGCCGGTGTGGTTCAGTGGTTGAGCGTTTACCTACGAAATAAAAGGTCACTGGTTCAATTCCCATTCAGGGCACATGCCTGGGTTGCGGGCTCGATTCCCAGTAGGGGGCATGCAAAAGGCAGCCAATCAATGATATTTCTCTCTGATCAATGTTTCTATCCCTCTCCCTTCCTCTCTTTCTAATAATCAATAAAAACATACTAAAAAAAAAAAAAGTATATTCCACAGTTGGGAAAAATAATAAAAGTAATCTTGAATTTTTCTCCATTCACTGTTCACTAACATGTAAGCTCTCTGAAAGCAATCAAGCTCCCTGTTGAAATTTTTTTATTAGTGTCTTGTTTTTCCCCCCCGCATGTTGAAATTCAAAGGTCTCCACTCACCGTATGCAGAAGCTTCACATCATAAGCTACTTGCCAGAGCACACTTAATGCGTAGTACAGGTTAGGGTTCAGGGGGTTTGCCATCATCCTCTAGGAGGAGGAAAATAGAAGGTACTTGTTATACAAAACTACAATCAATCAAAACCAAATGTTGTCTTAATAGTAATACCTTAATAGTCTCTAGAAATTAAAGAAAAATAGAACATAAAATCTTAATTGTAACAATTTCAAAGAAGAGAAAGGCCTTTTAAATTTTCATATTGAACTATATCATCATGGACACTTAAAATAGAACACAATGCTGATTGCAAAATCTCACTAAAGAAAAAATACACAAAAATGTTTTGTGGAGAAGGACAGGTATGTTAGAAATATGTGCCAGGTGGGATATTAAATTTTGAGTCAAAATTGTTTAGATTGATACTTGAAAGATACCTCAGAGAGAGGAAACCTCGTGTGAAAAGACCATAGTAAAAGAAGCATTAGGACATTCTAGCCACAAAATGGAAACTGAAAAGGCATCTCCTATTTCTCTTCCTTTCATCCTTTCCTGTACACTGTACGTACAGCAAGGTCCTGAGACCCCTGCTCTCCCTGACCCCTACTCTCCTCCACAGTCAGTGGCCAATAAATCATCCCTTCATTTCCAGCCCCACTATCCTAACCACAGCTGTTACCTACAAATAAATATCTCCCATTACAGTGGATTAAAAGATTAATAACAGGAGGCATTCTGGGCAGAAAAACATTATCAAGGCAACATCAAGGACTTCAGGAGGACCTTCTATATGAGTGAATTAAAAGTAGAGTCTAAAACCATAAAAATTCCACATACAAAAACTGTCAGAATAAAGGAATTTGGCAAAGTTGAAGGATACAAAGTCAACACACAATAATCAGCAATACACACTACCCTAACAATAAACAATCTGAAAAGGAAATTAAGAAAACAATTCCACTGACACTGAAAACTACAAAACATTGCTGAAAAAATTTTTAAAAAACACAAAAATAAATGAAAAGACATTTTGTGTTAATGGCTTGAAAGACTTAATATTGATAAGCTATCAATACTACAAATTAGATATCATCAAAATTATAAACTTTGGGACTAAATCAAAAGACACCATAACAATGTAAAAAGGTATCCCATAAAACAGGAGAAAATATTTGCAAATCACATACCGCAGAAGGGATTAATATCAAGAGTATGTAAGCACTCCTAAAACCCAACAACCAAAAAATAGACAACCTGATAATTCCTCCAAACACAAATTATCGGTAACCACAAAAGATGTTCATCATAACTAATCATTTAGGAAAATGAAAATTCAAAACATCGATGAGATACCACTTTAAATCATTACGATGGGTATTATAAAAACAAAAACAAAAACAGAAAACAAGGGTTGAATGTGGAGAAATTAGAACACTTGTGCATTGCTGATGGTGTATAAAATAGGGCAGCCACTATGAAAAACAGTATGGTGGCTGCTCAAAAAATTAAAAATAGAATTAGCATATGATTCAGCGATTTCACTTCTCAATATATACCCAAAATAATTGAAAGCAGGGACTCAAAGAAATATTTGCACACCGATGTTCACTGCAGCATTATTCACAATAAGCAAAAAGTGGAAGCAACCCACGTGTCCACTGACAGATGAATGGATGAACAAAGATGGTGTGTGTGTGTTCACATGGTGTGTGAACAATGGAATATTATTCAGTCTTAAAAAGGAATGAAATTCCAACACATGCTACAACTTGAATGCACCCTAAGACAATTACTTAGTGAAATAAATCAGACAAAAAGTGAAATATTGTACAACCCCAACTATATGAGGTACCTAGAATAGTCAAATTCATAGAGACAATGTAGAATGATAGCTGGGGCTCATGGGAGAGGAAAATGTGGAGTTGGCGTTTAATGGGCACAGAGTTCCAATATGGAATGATGAATAAGTTCTGAGAAGACATAGGTGGTGGTAACAGTTGTACCACAAGGTAACTGTACTTACTGCCACTAAATTGCACACTTAAAAATAGTTAAAATGGTAACATTTCTGTCATGAGCCCCAAATAAAATCATACAGATTAGGACTAGAGAAAAATTACAGAAGTCTTTTAAGATAAAATACTAGTCAAGTACTTCTTAGAAACCTACCTGGGATTCCAGTTCATTAAAAAAAAAATTTAGTTCTACTCGTCCATATCTATATATAGAAGTACAGGAATATATGTCATGTAAAACTTTCCAAATCATCTTTTTCTCATTTTTAGTTGGGAAGATTCCAACGACTTTCAAAGGGATACCTGTTAAGTATACAAGCAAAAATATTTGAATAAATTCTTAACACTATTTTCCTGTGACTATAGTTTATTGAGTCAAACTAAATTAACAAACTATATAAATTTTATTTCAATTAAAACTAAGCCTCAACATGTCTCCATGATATGGAACTTGACCTTGGCACAATTGCTCAGATTACTGTGTCTAGCTGAGGGTAAAGCAATAGTCAACCTAAGAGTCCTGGCCGGGATGGCTCAGTGTTAAGAGCGTCAGCCTGCGAACCCAAAGGTCCCAGGTTCGATCCCGGTCAAGGGCACGTACCTCAATTGCAGGCTGCTCCCAGGCCAGGGCCCTGGTCAGGGCGCATGCATGAGGCAACCAATCGATATGTTACTCTCACATTGATATTTCTCTCTGTCTTTCCTTCTCTCTTCCACTCTCTCTAAAAAAAGAAATCAATAGAAAAATATCCTCAGGTAAGGATGTTTTTAAAATCAGCTTAAGAGCATCTGAGCATAAACTGTACAATACATATCTGCACACAAACCTCATCAACAAAGCAGGTACACTGCTAGAGATAGCTGGCAACTTATAAGGTATTTGGCTTAGTAAATTACAAAAATTACCTTTTGACCAAGGAAGTGTTTCTATTCCAAATTTTTGAAAAAGCAACTTTGAATTCACAACAGGTTTTATTACTCCAAAACTTCTAGGATCCAGTTTAAAGAAGTCACAGTGAAGCACATGTAGTTTTCCACCCAGCTTTTTTCCTAGGGACTAAAGAGAAACAGACATAAAATGTTAAGATATTTCAGTGTTATGCAATATTATCCTATACTAGAGGACCGGTGCATGAAATTCATGCGGGGGGGGGGGGGGGTGGTGTGTGTAAGGGGAATGTCCCTCAGCCCGACCTGCACCCTCTCCAATCTGGGATCCCTCGTGGGATGTCCAAAACCTGCAGACATCCCTCTCGTAATCCAGGACCACTGGCTCCTAACCACTCACCTGCCTGCCTGGCCACTCCTGCCAGCCTGGTCGCCCCCAACTGCCCTTCCCTGCCGGCCTGATTGCCCCCAACTGCCCTCCCCTGCTGGCCTGGTCACCCCCAACTGCCCTCCCCTGATGCCCTCATTACCGCTAACCCCCTGCCAGCCTGATCTCGCCCCTAACTGCTCTCCCCTGCTGACCTGATCATCCCTAACTGCCTCTGCCTTGGCCACCACCAACATGGCTTTGTCCGGAATTTGGACGTCTGGACGATGGCCAGTCGACCCAGTCTAATTAGCATATTACCCTTTTATCCTATCTAATAAAGGAGAAACACGGTAATTAGCCGTACCTCCGCTACCCTTCCCATTGGCTAATCAGGGTGATATGCAAATTAACTGCCAGCCAGGATGGCAGCCGGCAGCCAGGCAGCTTGAAGCGAACATGAAGCTTGCTTGCTTCGGTGATGGAGGAAGCCAACGTTCCCCACCTGCCACTGCCGGCCTCTGAGCTTGCAGTTTGAAACATTGTTACAAATATAGAAGCTAAACAAAACCCCAGAAACCTGCTTTCAGCCAGCCTGGAACTCAGAGCTGGAGTTGAAACAGTGTTTCAATTATAGAACCCAAACAAACCAGATACCTGCTTTCAGCAGCCGAGGCCTCAGAGCTGGAGCCAAGCCTCGGAGCTAAAGCTGGCCCAGAATAAAAAAAAAAAGAAAAAAAGGAGCGGTTGGGAGCTTCAGTCACCCGCCAGCCTGAAAACAGCCCTCAGCCCCTCACCCAGATTGGCCAGGCACCCCGGTGGGGACCCCCACCCTGAAGGGGGTGTGACCAGCTGCAAATAGCCATCATCCCCTCACCCAGGCTGGCCAGGCACCCCAGTGGGGAACCCCACCATGATCCAGGACACCCTTCAGGGCAAACCAGCCAGCCCCCACCCGTGCACCAGGCCTCTATCCTATACAGTAAAAGGGTAATATGCCTCCCAGCACCGGGATCAGCGTGACAGGGGGCAGCGCCCAAACCCCCTGATCGCCCTGCGGCTCTGTGTGTGACAGGGGCCGGGGCCACAACCTCCCTATCCGCCCTGCTCTGTTCGTGACAGGGGAAGGAGCCCCAACCTCCTGATCACCCTGTGGCTCTGTGTGTGACAGGGTGCGGCGCTCCAACGCCCCCCCACCCCCCCACGGGCCCTGCTCTGTGTGTGACGGGGTAGAGCCATAACCTCCCCTTCGGCCTTGCCCTGAGTGTGACAGGGTGCGGCGCCCCAACCCCCTGATCCGCCCCGCTCTGTGTGTGACAGGGGGCAGTGCCCCAACTCCCCTATCAGCCCTATTCTGTGAGTGACAGGGGGGAGCTCCCCAACCCCCTGATCGACCCTGCTCTGTGCGTGACAGGGTTCGGAGCCTCAACCCCCGATTGGCCCTGCTCTGTGCGTGACAGGGTGTGGCGCCGCAACCTCCCCATGGACCCTGCCTTGAGTGTGACAGGGGGCGGTGCCCCAACCCCCCAATCGGCCCTACCCTGAGCGTGACTGAGGGTGGCATTGCAACCTCCCGATCCGCCCTGCTCTGTGCATGACAGGGGGCGGTGCCCCAACTCCCCAATCGGCCCTGCTCTGAGCCCGACCAGGGGCTGCACCTAGGGATTGGGCCTGCCCTCTGCCACCCGGGAGCAGGCCTAAGCCAGCAGGTCGTTATCTCCCGAGGGGTCCCAGACTGCGAGAGGGCACAGGCCGGGCTGAGGGACCCCCCCCCCCATGCACAAATTTTTGTGCACCGGGCCTCTAGTTAGATAATAAAAGGCTAATATGCAAATCAACCCAACTATCAATTTGCATATTAGCCTTTTATTTGATAACAAAAGTCTAATATGCAAAACTGACCAACTGGGTAGTCACTGCACTCCCACAGGGGGGGCACCGCTCAGCCAGAAGCCCTGAGCTAGACTCACAGCTGGCGAGTGCAGTGGCAGTGGCAGGAGCCTCTCTCACCTGTGCAGCAATGCTAAGGATGTCCACCTGCTAGCTTAGGCCTGCTCCTGCAGGCCTAAGCCATCAGTCAGACATCCTCCAAGGGCTCCCGGACTGCGAGGGGGCACAGGCCAAGCTGAGGGACGCCCTGCCAAGAACACGAATTTCATGCACCAGGCCTCTAGTCATTTATAATAATGCAAAGACCTACTTCAAAAAATAATTTTTTTATTTTAATCCCCACTCTAGGATATTTTTCCATTGATTTTTAGAGAGTGGAAGAAAGGGGGAGAGACAGAGAGTAAGAAAAACATCGCTTGGTTGCCTTCCACACACGCCCCAACTAGGGCCAGGATTTTGAGCCCGCAACAGAGGTACATGCCCTTGGCGTAATCGAACCCAGGACCCTTTAGTACAAGGGCTGATGCTCTATCCACAGAGCCAAACCAGCCAGAGTTAATACAAATGAATGCCTGAAAAATAATGTAAGTACAAGAAAAAAAACCACCTTCAACAAATTCTTACTTATTCTTACTTTATTGTAATAGCATCATTAGTTGTTCGAAAAGCTCCTTCACACTACTCTCTAATTCCTTAGTAGTGGCAGCCTGGAGCACAAGGGCAACGATTCTGAGCCCACAGCTGGGCTCAGAGAGCTGCAATCCATCTGCTAGTCATGCAAAGATGTTTCACAGTCGAGAAAAACAAAAATATTAAAGTGAAAGGCAGATTATTCAAGAGAGTATTATTCCTTCTTTTCTTAAAGAGTTTAATTAGTCCTTCACCAAATGAACTTAGCTCATTGTGGAGGCCACTGTCCACTTGCCACTTAATTCTTCCTTTACTTTTTCTAGACAGAGGCAACTCTAGAAGGAACGCTCCTTGTCCCCAGGGAGAGAGCCAATACACGTCAATCTTTACTGCCCTGACCTGCTCACCTTGCAGAAGCCTGGAGAACTTAGTAGTGAGAGCAAGGATTAGCTACAGACTCCACAAACTTCATCTGAAGTTACAAGTAATCAATTAGAAGAGGGCAATATGCTTTGATATGCAGTTAGGTTCTCAGACACAGAAACCTCTATTGGTATTTATCACTATTTCAATAAATTGGCAACTTAAAGTTATGAATTAAAAACCTAATTTTTCTTAAGCATTTGAGTTCAACCTATAAATATTATTCAATTTCTAAATCTAGTACATTTCACCCTGACCGGTTTGGCTCAATGGGTAGAGCGTTGGCCTAGGGACTGAAGGGTCCCAGGTTCGATTCTGGTCAAGGGCATGTACCTTGGTTGCAGGCACATCCCCAGGTGGGGGGGCGGGGGGGTGTAGGAAGCAGCTGATCGATGTTTCTCTCTCATCGATATTTCAAACTATCCCTCTCCCTTCCTCTCTGTAAAAAATCAATAAAATATATTTTAAAAAATAAATCTAGTACATTTCAATGATTACTTTTCAGGGGGTCCCTGGGAAAAGACTAGTGGAAGGAATAAACTGGTGCTGGAGATCATATATGTTTGGCCATGTTAATTCTGAGATGCCTATTAGGCGATCCAAGTGGAGATGAGAGGTAGGAAGTTGCAGACCTAAAAGGGGAGGTCAGTGACGTGGTCCAGGCTGAAGATATAAATTCGTATTTGGCTTGTTGAAGGTAATTAAAGCCAGGACTGCCGATGACATCGCCAGGGTCAAGTACACAGGACAAGAAGCTGAGACTAAGCCAAAAGGGAAGGAAGAAAACCAGAAGTGTGTGGCATTATGAAAAAGAGCATTCATATAATGCATACGTTAAAAACTAATTAAACACCAACAAATTATACTATATATAAAACAATAAAATAATCTCACAAATTACACAAGTTAGATTTTAATCTAATTAAGGAAAGATAATAAATTTTGGGTTGATGGTAATGTAAAAGAATATATACTTTATGACTTTATACATTTTTGGTTTTGTACCTGTCATTTACCATTCAATAATTCAAACACAAGAGTAGCCAAAACTCCAAAATAATTCAACTTGTATAACAGTGAAATCACATCTTAGAACTCTACTTGATTGCAGTTAGAATTCAAAAATAGGAAGTAAAAAGGACAGGAAAGACAAATAACCTTTGACTTTCTACTGCTCATTACATTAGGCACTTTAGTTTATCTTATTTAAACTGCATCAAGATCCTTTCCAGGTGGGAATTAATGTCTCTATTTGTATACGGAAAAGCTAAGATTCAGTTTAACTTCCTTACTTGCCCAAGGGTCTGAGGCGGCAGTGCTAGGGCTGAGCTTCAGCCAGGTTTGAAAAGGCTGTGCTCTACCCCTGCTGAAATGAGGCAGTTTACCACGAAAGTTGATGTCTCTTCAACCGCAGTTTCCACAATTCAAACAGGATGTACCAGTGGTTCCCACCCTTTTGTGGCCACGCCCCACCTAAGCAAGAGAAAGGCTGAAGGGGATGCTAAAGGAGATAAAGCCAAGGTGAAGGACGAACCACAGAGAAGATCCGCCAGGTTATCAGCTCAACCTGCTCCTCCAGGGCCAAGCCCAAGCCTAAAAAGGCCCCTGCAAAGAACGGAGAGAAGGTACCGGAAGGGAAAAGGGGAAGCGATGCTGGCAAAGATGGGAATAGCCCCGCAGGAAATGGAGATGCCAAAACGGACCAGGCACAGAAAGCTGAAGGTGCTGGAGATGCCAAGTGAAGTGTGTGCATTTTCTATAACTGTGTAGTTCTGGGGACTGTACAGTTTGAAATACTATTTTTTATCAAGTTTTATAAAAATGAAAAAAAAAGTGAACTATTCCTGTGAAGGAAGCCTAAAAGGCCATTAACTTGGTCTTTGGAACCACGTTCCAAAGAACACGGCATGCATGAAAGAGAAGAATGAAAGGACAGTTGAAGTACTGAGGAAGAAATCACTATGAAATTGTTAAAAAAGTATATATATATGAAGTGATATGAAAAAATAGCAAGTAAAGTTTCAAAACATAATAGAGAACTGAAATGTATAAATGTCACAATATATATTTATATACTGTAGATGAGGCCCATAGAACCACAAGAAATGCAAAAAATTCAGTTAATAACTCAGTCTCGAATTCCCCCTTGTGGGGCGTGTGCACCCCAGTGCACTGGGAACCACTGCACTATATCATGACTTATTATTACAGCACACAATCTGTAGCATGTGTATCTCCAGACATCCAGATAGGAAAACAAACCGTTCCTATTGGAAACATTGTTAATGTGGAGTCCCAAGCATTTTATCAGGGAAATGGGAAGGGGAGGAGCTTAGTTAGACAAAACTCCAGTCAAGCATCTTCCTCCCTTCCTTCTTTTCCTCCCTCCCTCCCTCCTTCCTTTCATTCTTCCTTTCCTTCCCCCCTCCCTCCTTCCTTCCACATCAACTGGTTACCTCCTGTGCCTTAGACTGGGAAGCAAACCCTCAACCCTTTGGTGTGCGGGCTGGCACTCTAACCACTGAGCGCACTAGCCAAGGCAAGCATCGTCCTTTAAAATCCTTTCAGGTTTTAGGAACACACTTGAGAGCCTTTGGGAGGCTAGAAGTATTGTCTGCTAAGAGCACCATTTTAACATCTATGCAAAGGTTCTATTTAAATGGTTTCTTCTCTTTTATTCTGGCAAATACATGAATTCACACAAAATTTTATTTGAATGGCTTTTCACTTCATCATAATGATGGTTAATAAGTTAGGGGCTGAGTTCAAGTTAGTGCTGAAAGAAGGGACTGGCGATTTTTTTAAAAAAAGTAAAACCTTTACTGTAGCAAAAATTGATAAAAGCCTTTTATAAACGATCAAAATAAAAGCTATCCTATTTTTAATTTTCAAATTGAAATTATAGATGGCTATGTGTACTAAATCATATTTCATGATCTTGAATCTTTGAACAATTCATATTTTCTCTTCGTGTTTCTGAAATTCCAGCAGATTTTTAATCAATTAAATAGCCGGGCTAAAACCCTCAATTATTTTCAAAGCAATCTGTTGTAGAATAACAAACATCTAACGCACACAGTTTTATTAATAAGTAAAGAAAGCAGCTGGATGTGATAGCCATTTCACAATCTTTTGTTTTCATCCTACAACTTTTAGATTTCGAATGGTTTCAGGAAGTTGGCATAGAAAAGTATGTTTCCTAAACTGAATGTAGTGATTTGTAAAGTAGGAGGAGAAAGAGGAAAAAAAAAAAAAAAAAACCAGGTTGACAATGGTGCAAGAAATTTCCACTTTACGGTTATGTAATCCTGCCTACTACATAACAGAGAGAATTCACTGGAAAACCCATTTGAAGAATGCCTTCACTCCATGCCACTGTATCTGACCATACCAAGTCTGTCTTGCCCCTGAACCTCTAAATCCAGAGTTAACACAGCCCCACTCATTTGATCGTAGCGCTCCAATCAGATTCTAAGCTCACAGGAAGCAGGAAGCACAGCGTAGTCTAAAATGAGGAAACAAGCCTAGAAATACCAGTTACCAAGCTCTGTTCTAAGTCACCAAACTAGTCTCTAGCAGAGCGAGAAGCAGAACACAAGTCTCAGAGCCCCAACCTGTTAGCTCTTCAACAATCACTGATTCTAGGTTGCAGTCACCGGGGACGACAGCCTATGTAACGCCTGGCCCTAGAAGTCAGTCTACAATAAAAAACTGTGTGCCTAAGTTTTCTTCCCTCAACTGCTGCAAGGGCAGTGGCTTCAACGACGTTATTTTTCAGAAACTAAAAATCGACTACCTCCAAATGTGGAATGAAAGTTTTGTCACTTTCAAGGGCAATCACTCTGGCACCTCTTTGAAGCAGTGCTCTCGTCAGGATTCCAGGACCTGGAATATTAACAGAAGGAAAAGATTATTTACCAAGTTCAATTTCTTCCAATATCAAAGAAAGCAGTCGATTTACACGTGTTACCTAATTTTAATCCTTACGTCCTTCCCAAAGTAGATGTTACACTCCCTACTGGGGGTTGGACGCAGTCACTGGCCTCCGCCCTCACCAACGGCAAGGGGTGCTGCTTGGCTTTGAACCCATGCTGTCCGAGACTGCAAAACCTGCGCTCTAATCACCATGTTTCACTCTCAAGAAAAAAAACGCGGCGGGGGCGGGAGGAGGGCAAACAACAAGGTTGCCTCTAGCCTGCCATTTAACCATGAACTATCCTAAATAGAACTGATTCCTCAAGATAGAAAACGGAGCTTTAAAAGTTACTTTTTAAAAAAATATATATTTTATTGATTTTTTTACAGAGAGGAAGAGAGGGATAGAGAGTTAGAAACATCCATCAGCTGCCTCCTGCACACTCCCTACTGGGGATGTGCCCGCAACCAAGGTACATGCCCTTGACCGGAATCGAACCCGGGAACTTTCAGTCCGCAGGCCGACGCTCTATCCACTGAGCCAAACCGGTTAGGGCAAAAGAAGTCACTTTTTAAGAAGTCTATAAAGAGAGTGTTCTCTGCTGATGGTCTCTAGATTCACGGAAGGGTAAAATGAAAGTTTTGGGGGGACGGGGATTGCAAGTGTCTTGGGGAGACGGTGGAATCGACAAGCATGTTCTACCAAACCATTTTGGGGCGTGCCAACTGCTCCAGAACCATTCCGGAGCAAGGCTGACACTGACCGCACCGGAAGGGGCTCTGTGCTCCCGGCGGCCGCGGGCGGGCGGTGTAAGTTCGCAGAAGTGATGCCCGTCCGAGAGGACAACGTCCACGACGGACTCACCTGGATTGATCTCCAGGATCAGGTCGCAGCCGTCGTTCCGCAGCAGGAACGGCACCATGGTCTCGGCCAGGTCCGGACTGAGTATGTAGCGCTTGGACTCAAGGCGGCTCTTGGACACCCCGGGGGGCAGCACTTTGAAACCCTCACTGGGCGCCAGCTTCGGCCGAAAGTCGGACAAACCACGGCGGTTCCTCGCCGGGACGCCCTTCCACCTCGCCGCTCCGGCCCTCCAAAGGCAAAGGCGGGCAGCACCGGGAAAGGCTGCCAGCGTCAGCCGCGGAGAGAGCCCCGCCATTGGGGCCCACATCCTTAAACTCCAGCGTCCGTCCCAATGTCACCCAGCGTCATTACAACAGCCGCCACCTCCGCCCCGGGAGCCCCACGTGCAGGCTCACCCCGCCGCCTGACTAGGCCGGGCAGCAGCAAACACTACAAACCACGCATGCGCCCCACCTCTCCTGGCTCTTTTCTCACTTCCGCTTCCGGCCAGGGGCTGACGCTGGAGGACGGACCTTCCAGGCCGTGCGCTCTATGGTCGTCCGCCCTCCGCGCGTCCTCTCTAGCCGCTCGCGCTCTATGCTCCGCGGTCGCGGCCGGCCCAGCCGGGAGGGGCGAGCCGAGGGAGGCGGGGCGGGAAGGCAGAGGTGTCTCCTCCACCCGAGCGGCGGGAGACCCGAGCGAGCCCGGTGACAGCTCGTCGGCCGCCATGTCAGCGAGAGGGGCTGGGAACAGCCCGGGCGCCCAGCGGTGGACCCCCTTTCGCCTCTGATTCCCAGGTGAGGAGAGGGAGAGCGGGATGCGGGGAGCCGGCGGCTCTCGGGGCGCAGCCTCCTGGAACCCCTCGCTCCTCCCTGCGCCGCGCTCCTCGGGCTGCGCCGCCCTTGCCCTCCGGGTGAGGTGTAGCCCCGTCCCCCCCTTCCGCCCCCTCCCTGCTCCCCGGTGCGGTCTGCCCCTGCGCCTCGCGCCAATTTCTCCCTCCCGAGGGGACCCGCGGCGGAGCGGTCCCTCCCCGGGTCCCCGGGTCCCCGGGTCCCCGGAGCCTGCTCTGCGCGCCTGCTCCTGCCCATCTGCTGCCGCGCGGCCCCTGCCCGCCACCCGGGCTCGGCTCCCGCTTCCTACCTGCCCCCCGCCCCCCATCACTGTGGTTGTCAAGAGCCACCTGGTGTCCCCCTCCCCGCCTCCCGCGATAGTACCTGTCTTTTTAAATTTGCGTGTTGCAGAGATTTAAAGTTAAGATGGAAAAAGGATTAAGACTTAAAGGCTTAAAATTCCTCTCCGAGCTTAAAATGATGCGGACCGCAGGATGCTTATTTGGTTCCCCGGGTGAAGTTAGTCACGCCGCGGAATGCACTGTAAAAGACCAGCTCCAAACGCTAAAAATAGGGTGCCCTGCGGGACCCGCTGGCGTCGCCTGCCCCCTGGGCGGTGTGAGAGGACGTGATTCTTCGCGAGTGACTCCGGTGGGGAGGGCTGTGCCCACCAGGGCAGGAAAATGCAGCCACGCTAGCACTCCCTGCTTTAAAATATGTGCAATCCTTCCTGCTTACTGCATGGGGAGTGTGACTGAGCTTGGCATGTCGATGCACACGGAAAAGGTATCTAAGGAATGTATCATCTCATAAATAGAAGCCTGGAGATTATATTCAGCTGATGAATAGCAAATGGATAAATGGTTGACAGTCAACTATGACCTTTTTTGGACGATAAATTTGTTAGGACACCATGGGAAGTGCCTGATCAACTGTTGTGGAAGCCCTGGGGACCCATCGGTCTTAAATTCTTGAATTTTTTTGGTACTGTATTCCCAGTGACAATTTTCTAGAAGTAACTTTGGCACCCTCTGAATACCGGAATACCATCCTTTACTACTGAGCTGTATTCCTCTCTCCCCTTAAAACATATTTTCATAGATTCAGAAACACATTCCTATCTATCCCTTCCACCACCACCACCAACACCACCACCATCACCCCCCACCCACCCCACTCCCGCTGAGCCCTGGAGGCCTAAATATTTTTAAATCAAAGCAGAATGATGTTTTATAATAGAGGAAGAAATAGTTCACGCATAGGAATGTGTTGTTGAATTTCTCACTTTAAAAAATACTTTTAGCCCGGCTGGCGTGGCTCAGTGGTAAGTGTCGACCTATGAACCAGGAGGTCAGGGTTCGATACCCGGTCAGGGCATAAGCCCAGGTTTCGGGCTCCATCCCCAGTGTGGGGCATGCAGGAGGCAGCCGATCCATGATTCTCTCTCATCATTGATGTTTCTATCTCTCTCTCCCTCTCCCTTCCTCTCTGAAATCAATAAAAATGTATCTTTAAAACATACTTTTAAAAAGCTGTGGGTTAAAAATACTTATTTTAAAATATGCTTTTTTATTTTATTTTTTTTAATCTGGAAATTGAACTTTTATTTTTATTTTATTTTTTTATTGCTTAAAGTATTACAAAGGGTATTACATATGTGTCCTTTTTTCCCCCCCACCCTTGACAGTCCCCTAGCCTCCTCTATCCCCCAGTGTCTTATGTGTAGACCAAAGGTAGCCCACTCGATCCTAGGGAAACTGTTGTAGTTATTTTCTTTAGGTTTTGAAAAAGAGAATAGGTAACAATAATTATTTCCATTTTTATAGTGTTGATGGCTTGTTTTTGGTCTTTGAATAATAAAGAGATAGAATCATGTGTGTTTTGTTTCTGAGTCCCGAGGTGCTGCAAATATCCTTCTCACTTTAAAGACGAACCTTATAATCAGCGCTTAAACCTACTTTATGAGGAAAACTTGGTTTGTGTATTTACATCTTCCTTAAGAGGTGTGGTTTTTACATCCTGTGCTCTTTTTGCCTTTTTGAGGTAATCTTTCTTTCAAATGGTATCAGAGCAAAGTGATTCTGCTGATTATTCTTACAGTTTTCCTAAGTTATTCCTATTGCTCTCTCAATGTAATTGGTAGACCCGGGGAAATACTGCTCTTTCTGTTGGTTTTTAAATGGCATTTGGAATTGGGAAATGCCAAATGATCTCGTTTGCTGTTATAATCTAGGCCCATGGTCGGCAAACTGCGGCTCGCGAGACACGTGCGGCTCTTTGGCCCCTTGAGTGTGGCTCTTCCACAAAATACCACGTGCGGGCGCGTGTACAGTGCGATGAAAACTTCGTGGCCCATGCGCAGAAGTCGGTTTTCGGCCTGGGCGGCGAGTCTATTTTGAAGAAGTACTGTTGATATTTGGCTCTGCTGATTAATGAGTTTGCCGACCACTGATCTAGGCTCTAGGTCTACAATAGTTCTGTCCTTTGGAAAGCCACATAAGCAATTTAAAGTTTCCCAGTCAAAATAGCAAAGTAAAAAAGAAACAAGTGAAATTATTTTTAACTAGCATTTTGTTTAATCCTATATGGATATTATTTTAATGTCAAATTTTAAAAGTTACTAATGAGATAATTTTACATTCTTTTCATACTAAGTCTACAAAGTCTGCTGTGTATTTTGACTCACAGTCCGTCTGAATTCAGAGTAGCGACATTTCAAGTGCTCAGTAGCTACGTGTAGTGAGGCCCTCACTGGGCAGCACTAGCCCCAGGGTTACTGGGTGAGTCTGGAGCACATTGTAAAACCCTTTTCCTAACGTGCTGCCGTGTTCAAACAGAAGCTTCTGTGCAGGAAAAGAGGTCCCAAGAAGTCTCTTCCTCTTTGGTGTTGACTGTGTTAACAAAGAGGAGGACAAACAGGTGCCAGGTGCCTGTTCAGTGACGGCCAGAAGATGATAGGGCACGCAGTCACTTCCTGGGGTGTCCTGGTCGCATGGATTCACACCTGCCTGTCAACAATGTGTCAAGGCCCTCCCCCTGCTGGTCTGGCTACTGTATCTATCGGTATTAAGGAGGGGAAGTTAAGGGCCTGCAGGAAGATTGAATTCCTTCTAAACAGGTGGAGCACCTACTATTGTAGACATATTCTGAATCTGTTGCAGGTATGGCTAAGAGTTTTGTGAATGTGCTTCTCAGGGGATGGTGTTTCTTGTCAAGGAAAAGATAGAATATTTTTAGCAAAATGTAGAAAGAAAGAGGATAGGTTTTGGGCTGGAAAACTGGGAGCCTGAGTAGTAGCAAAAGAGTAGTAACACGTGCGTGTGGTGGTTTAGGTAAATTTAAAAGGAAACGCGGCGGGTTTATAGAAACCTACGGACTGATTGGCAAGTTTTTTGCAAGCGAGGTGCTGATTTGCATGGAACCTTCTCCTTTTTCAAAGCTGTCATAACGGAAAGATAACACCGTCAGAGGAAAGGTAACCCTGCACCTCGCTGACCTCAATGGGGATCAGCAGGGACCCATCATGGGGCTTATCTTGATCTCTGTTCTCTAATAAACTTTCCTAAATGTTACTTTAGCTGCACTGTCTTACAGCTCCATTTAATGTCAACATTTATCTGAAGGCCTAATTAAGTTCAGTGTAATTTAATACAAAAAAACATGTCCCCTCCCCAACCTTTATAAAGAAATTAGGTATAAAGAAATTTTATATGACCTGGTCAGCAAACAAGACGCCCTCGGTAAAAATGTAGTCATGAGAGAGTTGGCAGTGTGTGGAGTATTAAAGGATCAAAGGCAGAAGGGACGGGGTAGTTACTGAATGTTGCTTGTTCCATGAGAAATACGGGTGTGCTATGTAGGAGAATATAGTGTTGTATTTGAATCCAAATGGCTATCCATTGACACCATTGTAGTTGGATAAGAGAATCCATTGTTTTGATCCTACAAATTAGTCTTAGCAATTTTTTTAGTTATTTGAGGAAGAATAATTGATAGTCTGGCAGTTTTCAGTTTTGAGTTGTTGTTTTTTAAAGCTGTAATCTGATTTAAGTGTCCTCTGCAAGGATGATGTTTTTATTGTGGAATTGTACACTGAGTATGTCTGGGTCTTCATACTGTTATGGAGCATTCTCTCCAGTTTGGGGCCTTTAGGACGCACATGAACACAGGCTTCTCTTTATGTAGGAACATTTCGTTAGAGGAAATTATATTTCCTTTAACCAGAGAATACTTTTGGTTTTTATGCATTTGAAATAATTCATTTATAATATTCTTTTAAGAACAACATCATTAGTGAACTATACCTCCATAAATCATAAAAATCATGTCTGAACCATCTTGAACAAAAGAAACACATCATCTAAAAATTCTGAATCTTTTAAGAGATTGAGAGTCCTTAAATACTGACACACTTTGGAGAGTCTGCTCTTTAACATGTTTGGATGGAAACTTTTTGCCATTATACCACTCCTCCCTGCCATCCCGGAGGACTTCCTGTTTTCAGCCTCATCAGCCATATAGGAAGGACCGTGTGTGTGTGTGTGTGTGTGTGTGTGTGAGAAAATACTGGCAGATCATGATTATTTTTTCCCTTTTAAGAAGAATCCTGAAGCAGTAAATGACAAATGTAATCACCTTTGTTGACATTTGGGCATTTAATTGACAATACCTAGAAGATTTTAGTAATTAACAATATTTTGCAATTGTCATATCGATTAACTTCTCTCATGGGAATGCTTAGACTGTTTTTCCTGGAGAAGTAATTCCAGATTAAATAATTACGTGGTTTTGCTATGTTAGCTGCATTTTGAAAGCCCAGTGGATTAGGTGACTGTGGTTTTCTAATTTAGTGATGGTAAACTAACATCTTAAAAATAATTTTTATATTATAGATCTTAAATAATTTACTTAAAATATGTGGACTCTATGGTAAAGCAAAAAATGCTGTTTCTGAATATTTGAGAGCA